TTTACTTAATCTTCCCCCGCACACCCCGTACTCACTCGATTTGACTCCCTGCGACTTCATCTTGTTCCCTACCATGAAGAAATGACTAGCGAGAAAGAAATTTAGCTCAAACGAGGAAGTCATCGCCGAGACAGGGAGGGATTTTGGAGAGTTCGACAAATCTTATTTTTTGGAGGGGTAAAAAAAATGGCAGGGTCGTTGGGAGAAGTGTATCTTTCTAAAAGGGGACTATGTTGAAAAATAAAAAAAAAACTTTAAAAAAAGGTGTCTTCATTTCTAACATTTCTTATTGAACCGCCCTCGTACACTTGCAAAACATTAATTTTACTACGACAATACGACAATTTGAAATTAGGCATTGTAAGGTTCAAACCAATAATTGTCAATAAAAGATTTAAGGACAATAATGAGATGCAGGTATATTTGACATATGTTGTGTCATACTCAAAAAGTGGTACCGTTGTTACCAATCGGTGGTACCTTTTTTCTTCGCTTTGGATTGTCACCGTCGTCGCACGATTGTGCTTCGGGATATATTATACGCAAAGGTATCTCCGTCGACGTCGCCTTGTCGCGGACGCTGCGACGTCGACGGCGGGCGTCGTGGCCGTCGTCGTCGACGCTGCCACCGCGTTGTGCTTGTTTATTTGGTCGATTTGTATTCCGGCAATAAAGCACGCGAACGGGAAAATTCACTCTATAAATCAATTCGGTGTGTACACGGCTGCCGAAATCGAAGAATGTCGAAAGCAAAATATGGCCTGTGTAAACTGAGAATAAAAGTCTACTTCATCTCCATACATAAAACATTACGTACACGCCATCCGGGTCCGATTACCATCCCGCATCCATTTCCGGAAGCAATCTTTCGCCAACCATGCACACACTTTCTATCTGTCTCTCACTACAGTTCTTTCATTCGCACATATAAACGACTCTCTTTTCCTTCTTCGCCAAGATTTCGACAATCCCCTACTCTCTTACTTCCTAAAACTCACCGCTTATGTATATCGCTGGCGTTTCTTTTACGATTCGGTGTCCTTCTCCACGTCTCCCGTATCGCCGGAAGGGTAATCTGGGACCTCGACGGATTTAAACGAAATCGATCTGTAAAGATAAACATCTTAAGTTCGTTTACACTTTTTAACAATCTCTTCTATAGGTACAAATTCGACATTTGGGCAAAAGTTCAATGCCTACTTGTTGTGACCTTTTAAAATTTTCCCTTAATTTTACGTGTGGGGGGTAGGGACATTACCGAAGGTTTGAGAAATTCGTAATTGGTAATAAAATATATGCCTATATTTCATCCTGCAGCCACAACTGCACATCATAGACAAATTCTTGATAAAGGTCTAGATGATGGCCCCCACCCCCTTCGGAGTTGGGGATGGGGGGTCGAGGGAGGAGGTCTCCCCCACCACTGTACCATAAAAAGTAAACTGTAAACCCTTCGGGGGTGGGGGCCATCATCTAGACATTTACCATATCCTTTTTGTGGTGATAGTAGCCTCATACTTCTCATCATACAGTGTGGTAGTTGCGGGCCAACAACTATCAGGGTGCGGAAGATACAGGCCGTGAAAGTGGTCGACCAAGGCATCTAGTACATTTGTATATTTCGATAAAAATGTTTTACAAAATATCTGACCCGGTGAATCGAGAACTTTCTGAAATGTTCGAAAACCATTATGCGTACGTGGTGGAGACGCATATTAAGGTATTTAGTATATAGATTTCTACAAAAGTGTCACCATATACCCGTTTAGAATAAGTAAGACTGCATAACAACACAATTCTAGTTCCTTAATGTTTTTGGGTTGGTTCACAGCTAGAATTTTCTCGAATATCTGGGATTATTCCCAAATAGAAAATGCTAGAGCGAATTGAAACGAAAGAATCCAAAACGCTCTAGAACGTTTGTGTGGTGGAGCCCTATTCTGACTGATAAATTAGCTTATTTTCATATTTTGACCAGTGTCCAAAGAAATTTTTGAACTCTCCTATAAAATTCGAGGCTTTTCAAGTCTGATTTTAACAGCATATCTAATGGAACATTAGTAGCAATTTACAATGAAGGGAAAGGGGTGCTTTAGCTAGTGATACATTAATTAAACCTTATTTTATATACATATGTATGTAATGGATATCTGAAATTGTCTTCCCAAATACGTGAAATTTTCGAAAGATTTGACGAGGATAAAAACGAAAGAACAGTTCCATCTTAGGTAGAGTAAGATAGCAGCAGCTATAAGGTCGTAAACATCGTTCTCTGCGCTTTTGTTCAGAATTTTATGAAAGGCCGAGATTGCTTGACGACGCGGTCTCGAATTCTTCTCTACTTTCCCTGCTCATTTGCATGTCATTACCGGCTCTTCAACTTCACCTGCGTTCAATTTTCGTTTTATCCCCTTTCGTAATAAGTTGGCGTCGGTCGTCTCCGTCGGCTCTCTCTCCTCTGCTCCACGACAGGTAAGTTGTCTCGTAGTGGAGGTAGAGGACGAGGACGACGACGACGCTGACGACGCCGCCTCATCTTTTATGCATGAAACATTTTCCTTATTTGCCTTCAGATGAAAAACAGACACCGGCATAATTTTCTTTTATGCAAGCATACCGCCGATGACGGCGAGCTCGCGATGGAACGACGTCATCGTCACACAGTGAACCAAAAAAATAACAAAAATTACTGTCACCGTCGTCTCGAAATTTAGAAGAGTACTAAGACTAGGGGCCCGAAGTGAACCACCCTACGGTCTCCACTGGTTAAGACCTCCAGAAAAGACTAAAAATAATGTCAAAATCTCTTAACTCTTTTTACGGATAATAATAATAATAATTATAGAGGCCTGAAGAAGTCCCAGTAAGATAGCGAAATGTAGTAGAAACAGAATCACTTAGCAATTTGTTTTCTTGGGATCTACTGACTATTTATAACGAACAATTGTGAGATGTTTGGGAGATACAATCGGAAACAAGAGTACATAAAATTAGAAATTCGTGATTAATTAGGTTTTGCAGCATATCATGGGGTAACTAAATACTATGTACTTATACTAAAAAAAAGGTATACAGTTTGAGAGAAAATTTGGATTTTGACCAAAAACTTTGAATAAAATAAGAAATAACGAATAATATGGAAAATTTTTAACTGACTTGACAGTGAATATGCCTTGATTTCAACTTCGAAACAACAAAATATTTGTTTCAGTCCTTATTANTTTAATTAATTATTTATAGCATCTGCAAATCGTAAAGTACGTTTATCATGACGGTGTATAAATGAATGCACTTTATTATTCATACGTGTGTGTGAAGGTACAAGTAATTTTTCAAAAATAAATATCTTTATCATTTGAACTATGGGAGGCCACGGTTTACGTTGTTTTCATTAAAATTTTAATGACCGTACACATGTAACATTCGTTTACGTAGGTGACCGATAATGTGCTGCGCTATATCAGCACCTGATGTTTCTTAATTTGTTTTTCGGTAAAGTTTCGAAACATGTCGGTCATTTTTCGATTTTTTCGTTTCCATTTCGATAAAAGTTGATATTTAAAACTAAGAGGAAATAAAGGCCACGACGGGGTGATTTCATTTTTACTAAAAGGCATTGAATCTCACTTATCAAAGGCTGACAGGTTATCTACAAATGAATATAGCATACGTTTGAATGAAGCACATGAGTTTAATAATGAATTAATAATGAATTAAGATAAATTATGAACTTTATCATTTTAGAAAGGGCATATTATTCAACACTGTACTTTAAAAATACATTCCACTGGACTAAATTTACAAACAAATGTAGTCCTGAATTTTTAATTTTATATGAACCATCTTAAAAGTTGAAAAATTGATCCCAAAACTGTAATCGAGCGTAATCTCGAATTATTAATGTTATGTCCGCCATCTTGAACCGCCGTTTTGAATTTTGAAAAATTAACCGTTAACGACCCTCTGAACCATCATACGAAATTAATTACTGAACGTTTAACACCCAGTATTAAAGAAGATTAAAGTCATATTATAAACTATTACTTGGCATACATTTAAAGTTAAATTGCGAGGGTCACCAACCAATCACGCGAAAATTGCGGTCACTTTTAGCTGATAAAAACAAAGTCATACGTTGAAAAGATTATAAAAAGAATAAAACTATATTGATAAAAATAATTTCACAAATCATTCTTGGATAGTAAAGGTGGTGTAATAATTACTGTAATATACGAGGGTGGATTGATAAGTTTCCGGCCTAACCAAGAGATGACGCCACTATGCCTACCTTGAGGTGACATTCTATAGTACCATCCTTGGATAGCTTGTAGCTATAGTTTCAGCCCGATCTCCTTGCTAGTGTAGGTTTGACAGCACGCTGAACAAGACGCCTCTGTGGTTTTCGTAAAAATGGAAAAGCAGGAAAATCGTGCTGTCATCAAATACTT